GTATTCTGAGAACAAAGTTTGTAATGTTTTCAAGCTCTGATACCACTTTGAAGGCTAGCAAACTTGGGAAGTATATTATTAGAAATACTCAATTTTATTGCCTTAAGAAATACTTCAGATTACATTCCAATTTATAGGAAACAATCGACTCTTTAGCTCCTTAATAAATTAATGTATATGTTACATATCCAAGGAGACTCTTGACTCTTTAACTTACTCCATCGGTTATTGAAATACATGTAGATGCTTAAATAAAGTTTAGTAAATGCTTATTGAATTCATCAGTTACATTAATTTGGTTTATCTTCCAACAATGCCTACCGTAAACCAAATTTGCTTTTCATTCCAAGTTTCGAAAGTTGTTTCATATAGATCTGACCTCCAAATGGTTTTNTACATGTAGATGCTTAAATAAAGTTTAGTAAATGCTTATTGAATTCATCAGTTACAATAATTTGGTTTATCTTCCAACAACTACCAATAACCTTTTATATAAACATTGTTCAACATCACTTTTTGTTTTAAAATCAAACATTTTGATTATATCATCTAAATGTATGCTCTAACTCCTATAGTCTTGCTTCAATCCATAAATGGACTTCTGTAAATCATACCGTATACATTACGTGTTGCTACAGCAAGCAGAATCTGAACATAATTACTGTGAAAAACAACTCTTTGTCTTTGGTTGTAGCCATTTTGCTACCGATTTAGCCTTTGCAAGTATGAACATGACCATCCATATCGATGTAAACTTATTTTAAATATCCGTCCATTGGGTGTGTCAACCGAAGTCCAAACTTTATTTTCAAATATCGAGTTCATTTCAGATTCCATAACTTTCTACCATCTCTTTCAGTCAACGTTTAACTTATCGTTTGGACAAGTATTATGATCATGATCCGCGACTAATAATATAGTATTAGTAATTATGAATTTATAGCTTCGAAGGGAACAAATAAACCTAATTGCTTTACATGGAGCTAGTGCATCCTCAGGAGTTACCATGTCTTGAATAGCTGTGACATTGTGTTTCCTCCATATGTTTTTTCAGTAGTCTCCATATTATGCTCTGAAAAATAAAAAGTGTTTTGACTAACTACAGATGAGAGTAAATTCTCAGAGATGCATGTTCTGAGATATTGTATATTGATATGTATAAAAAAATCAAGAAAATACAAAAATCTAATCT